CGCAAGCCGAGACGATACGGTGAGGCGACGTAGCATGGACTCAACCAATCCCGGAGGCCACTCCCATTGTCCCGTAGCTGGACTACAAAATCATGTTAATTCTTGCTGTTCTCTCATCTCTGACGATGGTATCCTGTACGAGTTCGAAAGCCCAGACTAATACAAGTGCTATCCCAATGATCGCGCCTATGTCTTCTTTGTATTAAGAACCTGGGACATGCATATTTGCTTCATTACCGCTTTTTTATCTGACTACGTTTATCCGAGAACCATTCTTAGATTGATACACACTTATTTCGCCTCGAATGAACCTATCCCCAATTTGTACGATGTCATCACGAAAACACCTATTACCATTCAAGAAAGGCGGCCGAAATTATCTTGGAACGTTCATTGTTCGCTATATAAATTCAGTTTTGCTGCTGTCAGTCCGACGTTACTGCTCACCAGAAGGCACCAAAGAGTAACTCTAAAATTGGCTCGACACAACACGTCAATAATTGGTGATACTCCATACTTAATCTGTGTCACTGGAAGAGGAAAGGATACGAGCTTTCTCGATGCGCTACCGGATATCGACACGTGTGGAAAGGTACCAACTGCAATATAAAGGTCAGCTGGATCAAGCATGATAGCAACCCTATAAAGTACCTTTTGTAATCTATGCAAGCTGAGATGCTCAACCGGTGTGAAATTTGAATGTTGGACGCTGATATAAGTGAACTTTATAACAGTGATACACGCAGTGTGGCCGTGTGATCTCATCACTACTTATTTAACCAGTAATGCCTAACTGCATATATGATGGAAAACCTTGCTTAAGCATTCCTTTACACAAGCCGCACTACTCCTATGCTGTGCACTTTTAAAGCATTGATGTCTGACGTTTAAAAAACAAGGAATTTCGGTCGCGACTGATGGTAATAGGATCAACGCCCTCTTTTTAATTTCGAATGTGGCCTGGAGCTTATGCAGACCCTTGTGCTGGTCTAATGCCATACGATATTTTTTTGCAGGTTAATGCCGAGTCCGTTGAGAACTTCTGCAAAGAACACCAGATTTCTTCTGTCCCGACTGTACTTTCATATTCCGTAAGTCCATTTCCAACCTCATATGCTTTCCAGTCGCTGTCGTTTGCTTTAATAATGGTAAACATATTTAACGCTTCTGCAAGACCTCACGCCCCACCCCTTCTCACGACGCATTACTATCACTTATTGCGAAATCTAGTCTGACTCGATTTATCTTCGAATGAATTCAGTTTTTATTATTCTACTACTCAGACATAACCTCACAGCCCCTTTCGGACTTTTAGTCCAATTCCCTGATAATATACCTCTTGCATATGCTCAGGTCAAAGTTTAACCTTAATCTGCTTCGTGGCAGCACTTAACTATTTTTTCGCTACTCGATGTTTTTCTACATCTTTCGGATTTCAGGCGGGTCGAGAGGTTGGTCGAGTCAGTGGGGCCAAAGCTGCCGAAATAACGAAACTCGTGGGCGATCTCGGAGACAAAAATGGCCCTCAGGCGGCGGGCTCTGGAGATCTAAGCAGTCGCATCAAAGCTCTTATTTATCAGGCCCCAATCATGCTTTTTATGAAGGGCTCGCCTAAACAGCCCCGGTGTGGATTTAGCAAACAGATTGTTGCAATCCTTAGTTCCCATAATATCAAATACGGCCATTTTGACATTCTTACGGATGATGACATTCGACAGGGTTAGTCCTATCTCTTCTGGCAGTTTTTAAAACTTGCTTATTGACCGACAAGGCTTCCGACATTTCCTATTGCCTCTTTGTCTTTCCTAGCCAGTTTTCAAGTCGACTTTCTTACAACATATCCAGAGCTGCAGCTTCGACTATGGAGCAACCACTTTCGGCATTTTTACGTTTTGATGACGTTTCCGCAAATTTTTGGCGTTTTTTTATTTCTCGAGGATGTCTCAGTGGCGTAGCCAGATACTAAATTTTAATTAGTGTCTACATGGCTACAGACACGCAGTCTCACCTATACAATTAGCACCTTTTCCGGTGGATATGCCATTTTACCCCCCAACAAACCGGTTACTGACCTAGCTGGCGGCCATTTCTATTGACCCCTGTCTTCCTGTTACGGTTATTCCGGTCAAAAATTAAGAGTCCCAATAGGCAACCGGACAGTAATGTCTTCAGTAGCTTGATCACTACTAGCTGATATATGAGTTCACGTAATCCAAGAATAAACTTAGGCACAGACATGTTACTAATGGTATCTCTTCCTTTTAGGTCTTAAGAAATACTCCGACTGGCCCACCTATCCACAGCTGTACGTTGACGGCGAATTGATCGGAGGTCTGGACATTGTAAAACAACTTGAAGAGTCTGGTGAACTGCTTTCTGCCCTGCATATGAAGGCATGATTCCCACTTTAACATAATAAACTTAATGATTAGCTGCTTCTACAATTTTTTTGGCATTGTTATCGATGTCTTCTCCCTTCCTACTATGGTGATGATTCCTTCACTCAGAAGATAGCGGGAGGGTTGCTCATACTACTTTCGCACACTAAGATTAAAGGCACGGAAATCCCTCCTGATTCTCCCTGGAACATTGGCCAAGCCACTCGCAGGTCATTGAACCCAAAGGCAAATAATTTTATTGGCCCAGGGCCAGTCCTCTGCATGCCGCCTGGGGCTACGATTATGGAAAACTGTGCGTCACGAAATAATTTCGGATCCAACACAATCTACCAAGACATGGCGATTCGTTGGGAAGAAAAATGGGTCAATTCCCCCAGATCTGTCGCCACAGGTCGTTGCGCGTTGCAGACATCAAGGTCGGGCAGGCAAGGCATGATAATGACCTATCGAGCCCCACTAGCGGGAACCGTTTTCGGGACATGTGAAACATTATAACAGAAGCCAGTGTCCACGGTGTGTATCTGAATTTTACCGGACTGGGTCGAATCAGCCTTCGATGGCAGCAAGTGAAAGGATAAAAAACCGTTGCAGTCTACTCTACTCGTCATCTTCCGAACGGACATGATCAGATGCGACGGACGAAGACTGATCCGACTGCTGCAATCGCGTAAACTAAAACTATTTGTGGAAGTTCGGACTCCGACTACAAATATCCAGAAGGACCGAGGAGTTTATACTGGTGCGATCTCGTAGGCAACGTGAAGACTTTTCTAAGTGCCCTCCAGGTTTTCATAGTAACAGTAAATGAGTAATATTATTGCTTTTTAGGCCCCTCGTTGGCCAAACGAGCGCTCGATGTTTTTCCCTCAGTCTCACGGCGGCCAAGGTCTGCTACGCCAAACCTCTCTACGGTGGATCAATCCCCCCTGTTTTTATCGACGGAGCAGCCTCTCCCCACCAGGCTGCTCCGACTTCCCCTCCTCGCCACCGGGATTGGGACTAACCTGGCGGGGCTCATGATCTAACGAGGGCTACTAGCCAGCCCGCCTCAGTCTTACAACAGGCCCCCACCTAGCTGATCGGT